GAAACTATCTCCAAATTGCAGTCAGAGTTTAAAATACATCATCTTTCCCTATAGCTTCAACTGCTTACAACAGAAACAGAAAGAAAATGACTTCTGCACTAAAGAAGTACATTCCCATTTACAGTGGGAATGTTCTCTTGTCAGAATACATACTCAATTTTTCCTTAAAATATAGAACAATTTCTCTGTAGGGACTTAACTATAACAAAATAAATATGCCGGTTGTGATTCTATATGGCCTTTTAACCCTTTTGGCATCCTATCTTATTCTGCAGAAACCCAATTCCACATACAAAAAGAATGTTTCTCACTTAAAGCATCTTCAATAGAAAAATTTGGGAACAAGTAACTCACAGAATACTCTGCCATGAAATTTCAAAATGTTAAATACCACACCAGATTTGATATTTTGAGAGTGCTATTGTTTTGCAAAATGAAAATCTACTTGCCCAAACATTTTTTAGCTCTCAAAAGTTATAGACCCTGGAAGATACATGTACTATTTGTTTTGCAAAACTAACACATTAAATAACATGACAGACCACAGAACTAGAAGCTATAATGCAAATGCATTTAACTTTGTCCAAGAACTAAGCAATAGAGTCCCCCTGTGCCACAGGGATAGCCACCCAATCAGTGGCTACAAATCCCTATTTTTCAATCAATAATTCTGCATAAAATATTGAAGTTGCTTTTCAGCAAATAAAGATTCCCTAGCTCTAAAAAAACAAACAGTAAAAAAAAAAAAGCATAGCATCAGTAGACAACAGATTCTCATTCTCCTTATCCCCATTGTCCGGGTCAGAAACTGCTTGGCCATTATAGCTTCTTTAGTCCAAAATGCTTCTGGTAGGTCAAACAGTTCAATTGTTTCAGTATCAGGGAGGCACAAGAGTCCCATTTCATTTCTCCTAATGACCAGCCTTAAATGACTACAGGTCTTAACAGTGCTGGCAAATTATCAAGGCCTTCTACATTACATGGTCAATGGTCCTTTTAATAGAAAAAGCAATAATATATAGTTGTTTGTGCCAAGCAAAACTCGTTAGAAAGTATTAGTTTAAGATAACAGTTCAGGAGCTATTAACAACTACAAATGTTTGCAGAAACAACTCCCCTCCCTCCTCCCTTCCAGTGAGCTGCAGAAGATGAGGGACATGAAAGAAATTCTGCATTTTGTACCATGACTTGCTAGCTGGAAATGTGTTGTTAAAAGTTCAATAAATTTGGAGATGACTGAGTTATGCTGTCATAAGTTGGAATGTGGACTATAAGACGGTTAAAGGAAATCATACAGAGGTGGACAATGAAGAAAGAAACAGATAATGTCATATAGGCACAGCAGGAAGTATTTCTAGGCAGAATTGAAAGAGACCAAGAATCTCAAACAAAAGTCAAACTTTGCCAATAATCACTTTTATTTTTTCATACTGGCATAACATGAGAATTGACTTTGTGTCTTGCTGACATAGCAACTAAGAAAGTCGTGTTGCATTGACCATTATTGATTGAAAGCAATGCAAGCTGGAGTGGGGGGGAGAGGGATACCTACGCCATACCATATATTTTCAATATTGACCTTCCACTCCTTTTGTATGGCTCTTTGGGCTGGCTATTGAATTTGGACTGCAGTGTAATAAACAGCTGAGGTTTAATTAATGGTAAATGAATACAAGACACAGGTTATGACTTTAACTAATTAGGGAATTGTTGAATTAAGTCTGCCTTGGAATGCAAGGCAGTACAATCAATACCCAATAAAAGGACTATGTATGTAATTTACCTGCAAATGTGTTTCCAATACCATCAAAGTGAGTTTAAATAAGTAAGATATATGAAAGTCTACCAGAAAAAAAGTTTTTTTTTAAGTTAACACTTCATATAGCTTATAGAACAATGGGAGTAATAGAACTAGTTTAATATGAAAGAAGACCAATCTTGCCCACAGACTCAGCGTAAGAGAAGAAGTAAATGAAACAATCACCAAGCCTAATAACAGCAAAATGATGGACTGCAAGATTAGCAACCTTTGTGGTTGAATGTTTGTTATGAGGAGGTAGGAAACTAAGTCAGGGAGAAGACAGCATGGGAAAGTGATGCATTCTCTTATTGTTTGTGCATAGTGGACACACTGAGAAGCTTTATATCAGACCAGTTAATGTTCTAAGTATCCAAATAATCCCCACTAGGGAAGCTTACCTCTCCAATCTGTTTCTCTAGAAGCATGACTAAATTCTAACTTTCTGGAAGGTTTGTGTAAATGCTGTGGTTTTTTTAACATACAGTATATTTCAGAAGTGATATTGTGCATTTTCAGCTAGTCCACATATACGGATGGTCTTTGCTTAATGACCATTCATTGACTGTTCAGTGACCATTTGAACTTAAGATGATGATAAACAAGTGGTAATTACAACTGCTCCTATGCTTAAAATGGTCACAGCATCCCACAACCATGTGGTCACAATCTGGGTGTTTGGTGAACAATACATAATCATGACATTGCAAAGTCACCTGGCCCCCATTGGCAACCTTGTTTACCAGCTTCCTACAAGCAAAGTCAGTGGGGAAGCCAATAGGTGGTCACAAATAGTGACATATCACATTTAACAACATTCCAAGATTCGCTTAATGACAGCAACTGGAAATGCTGCAACTTCCATTGCTAAATGACACAGTCACATGATATTACATTTTACGATTGTTTACTTAACAACAGAAATTCTGTTTGCAATTACCATCGTTAAATGAGGCTGACCTGTGTTTAAACTTTTTAAATTCATTATATTGTTGGTTGCCTTAGAATTCAAATCCATTGACAAGAGCAATTGAAATAGTATGGATATCAGGAAACCAGTCCTCCTCCACAACAGCTGATGAGACAATGACTAGGTTCACAGATAATATCTATCCATTATGTACTTGACAACAATTTATTGAATGAACAACAATGTAGCATATTATGTGAAGTGAAATAAATTCAATCAATCAAACCATACTTGGAATCCCCTACATTTTTGATCTCATAAAATACTTTTGAAATGTTGAAAGCATATTGAGGATTCTTGCACAAAAGGGCTCTGGGAGATTATTTGTTCAAAAAGACATTGTCATGACCAAGTACAGCATGCTATCAGCCACTTCTCTCTAGTACTCCTTCCTACCCCTTCCTTATGTATTTTTGTTTTCCAGGATAAATGGGTGGATTTTCAATTCCAGGTCCTCCACCCCAAATTTTCCCATCTGATGCAAACTCAGAGGGATGCCTTCTTCATGACTGCCCCAGCTCATTGGAACAGCCTCCCATCTGAGATCAGAGGGATCCCTACCTTTAATTAGCCTTCGGGGGTGGGGGCTTTAAAGAGCTGGCTCTTTCCCCAAGCATTGGGATAGGATGGGGGTTCAGCTGCAAGAATGTTTGATCTGGCAGGAAAGAGTACTTTTTTTGTAACCATGTTTTGGGGGATTGTCGCGAGCTGACTAAAATCACTGTATGAGATAAGTGGCGTATAAGTCCTGTAAATAAATAACCAATCAATCAGTAGGATACAGCCATCCTTATTTATATGTTCTAATAATCTTTATACAGCCCATTTGGTTTTCTAAGGAAGCTGTCCTTTGAGGGTGAAAAATGATATGAGAGCATGTTGCTTTTCAATATGTCAGTTTCCAATTTTTAATTAAAATATTTTTAAATATGTAAGAAACATATTTCTTCTCTCTTCTCACAGTTAGGCAGTGAAACTTACCATACCAAGAGATTTCAGATAGATATGAATTTAGTCACTGAGTACTTGGAAAAGAAGAGACAGGTGGCCTAAGGATCAACGTAATGTAGGCTTTCATGTATGTCAGGGTCAACTGTAGTTGACTAGAAGTCTCACAGTCCCCAATCAACATGGCCACAATAATTGGCACCACATTGTGTAAAATCTCTTTTGCTGAAGTGGGAAGACCCAAGTTGAAGATATCAGAAGACTTCAGGCCAATGTTGGAGAGAAACCACCTGAGTTAGGAAGTTAGGAAGAATTATTCTGGACTCATTACATAAACATAAGAGAGCAATGCCTTTGAGCCTTAGATAGGCTTTCCCGGGCAGAAACTGCCAGTTTGGGCAGATTCCTGTAAAATAGGCATAGAACAATTAAGTAGCTGATTTGAGCTCTACATATGTGGGTCTAGTTATTCATGCCTGACAGCCAATCACTATCTCTCAGACTAATCTAGGGGATGTAGCTATGTGATAAAATTGGAGAGAGTATTTTCTACTGCCTTGAGCTTCTGGAGAAAAAAATGGGAGGCAAATATATTGAATAAAAAAATATTACAGACTCCTACAAGCAATCCTCAATTTACAACGGTTCATTTAGTGATCATTCAAAGATACAACGCCACTAAAAAAAGTGACTTATGACCATCTTTCACACTTATGACCAGTGGTGGGATTCAAGTAATTTAACAACTGGTTCTCTGCCCTAATGATTTCTTCCAACAACCAGTTTTCCAAACTGCTCAGAAAGTTAACAACCGTTTCTCCCAAAGTGGTGCGAACTGGCTGAATCCCACCACTGCTTATGACCTTTGCAGCATCCCCATGGTCACGTGATTTTCATATGGATACTTGACAACTAGTTCATATTATGATAGTTGCAATGTCCTGGAGTCATGTGCTCCCCTTTTGCGAAGGCATGGAACTGCCTTCTGGCCTAAGAAGCACACAGTACAAACTCCATAGTGAAAGATTCCAGAAATATTCTCAGGACCTAAGCTTGTCAAAAAAAAAAAGTTCACCTTTCACAATAGCACAAATAAATACATTCATCTTAATAGGACAGAAAGTTATCACATGCAAAAAAAAAAAAAAAAGAAGAAGAAGCCACTTCAACTTTACTGAGAGCCACCATTGCTCCCACATTTCACAAATTCAGAGTAATTTCTGAAGTGTTTGAAAGTGGGGAGGAGGAAGGGGGAGTGGAGGAAAAGAGATGAAAGACACTAACCTACTCCCTTGTGTGCATCTATGCTGGTAAATTCCATTGTACCATTATGGCCCCTTTTAGGATTTTCCTGATATTCTTTGTGGTTCCCACTGGGACAATATCTGTAGGCGAGTCCATAATCAGCAAGATAAACCTGGAAGACATGAGCAGAGACATGAATGATGCTTTCGTCCTCTGAAAAAGTATAACCTTTCTAATTAAGCCAGAAGAAAATGGTGGCTTAAGGACACTGTTAGATCTGCATTTTATTAAGCCAAATTGCACCTCAGGATAAAATATGTACATCTGGGGGCTATTAACAGCTACTTTCCCCTTCTAAGTTGTGTGCCTTCTACGCGCTGCCTTATTTCCAAGCAATACAGAATAAAATCACATTTTGTTCTTAGGCTCCTTTCTCTCCAGGTGGGCATCCAGACATCATAAAATGCAATATGTCTTTTATCTTTCTTCATGCTGCTTATGGGAGCCTTCCTTCTCACAAAACACACTCACATACAGATCCCACCTTTCAACAACCAGCCCTGCAACAAGTTCAAAATAGGTTCAGTTACAGGCAAGAACATAAGTAAAAGTTTCGCAAACATCCATTGCGTTAACATACCAATTTCCTCTCCAGAAAGTATTCTGAAGGAATGCATCTCTCTACAATTGAACAGCTGATTTTCAGAACTTTTCTAAGGCAATACCATCCCCCAAAGTGAAGACTTATCATCCTTCCTTAGAGTGAACAGTATCACTCTAAGAAAGATGAATTCTGCAATACCTACATTTGGCAGAGATTAACAAAACAGAGTGCCAGTTTGGTGTGGTAATTAAGGCATCAGGCTAGAAACCAGGACAAAGTGAGTTCTAGTCCTGCCTTAGGCACAAAGCCAGTTAGGTGACCTTGGGCCAGTCACTTTCTCTCAGCCCTTAGGAAGAAGGCAACCACTTCTGAAAAACCTTGCCAAGAAAACCACAGGAATTTATCCAGGTAAGTCTCCAACTATTGGACATAATTAAACAGAGGAGGGGGAGGGAGAAGCAAAATTAATCCAAGGACAGAAACCTAAGATATATCAATTGACCTCTTAACATCTTATTTTTATCTTATGGCACTTATATTCAGCGAGAAAAATCAACTTGATATATTTATACCATTTTCTTTCTTAATTAGTTTAACCTTTTCTATTTAATAGAAAAACATGTTAGTGTTAACATATCAACATGTAATTGCAAAAATAAAACAATTTAAACTTATAAACTATCACAGAATGCAAGACCTATACTTTAAAATATTTTGTTTCTAGAGCAGAGTAAGATTTTGTAAGAAGGAACAGAGGGCCAAGAGAAAGAGAAAGAGAAAAAGTTCTGTTTTGGCATATTTTTCATCTACTTCTCCAATTGAATGCTTTCCATTTCCGCATATATAATATCAAATTTTAAAGGAAGTATACTCTCTATTTACAGTTCCTATTTCAGTCTACTATAAGAATTAGGGCAAGAATAATTCAACCAAACCAGGAAAAACCCATCTTACAATGATATTTTGTTTTTCACAGAAGCAACTAGTTGCAGGTAAAAGATGGAGAAGTATTTTCTCCTACCATTGTTCTCCTCGAATTGGTGTTTAGAAACATACTATTCTTGATTCAGAGGCAACATTAACATTTCCTCCTTAGTAAATTCTAGCATGATCAGCCTGCTGCTACTATTAATAGTTTGGTAGAACAACAGCTGTATATTTTAAAATCTACAAGGTGCACCTGCCCTAGTCTTTTTAAGATTACAGCTCTTGACAGACTTGTTCTCAAGAATTTATCCTATCTTCCTTTAAAACCATCCAAATTAGTGATCACTGCAGTATTTTTGTGTAAATTCCACAGGTTAATTCTGCAAAATAAGAAACAAAAAATAAAGATCTTGCAAGTGTGTATTGATACAAATAGAATGCCAGAAAGAAAAAATGTTACAGAAAAGTATCACTTCTTTCACTTGCACTTACGCCCCTATAAATCACAGATGTGCATCTCTAATCAGGCCAAGCTATAAATGGTGTTTCAAAGGTTATTCTTTAAATAACAATGCAAAGATGAAGAACCAAAATAAAAATGTAGTTTAATTTCCTTTCATTCTACATTCAATTAACACAAGATAATATAACAAATTAAGCAAAAAGTACATTAGATTACCTTAGTCATAGCTGCACAGCATACAACATTTCTTGTGAATGATATGGACTATGATCAGTGATGGCAAAATTTGGGCTGCCTGTTGCATGTACAACCAAAGCCCAGAGTGGACATACTCTTTTATGCAAGCAAGGATCTCTAAATAGTACCTTACAAACCAAAGGATTAAGAGCACTTTGGTACAGTAGATAAAGCATAAGGCATATGATTAAAACTCAAGAAATTGAGTTCTATTCCTGCCTTAGGCTTGTAGTCAGCTAAATGACCTCGGGCCAGCCCTAGGAAGGAGGCAAGACAAACCACTTCTGAAATCTTGCCAAGAAAACTGCAGGACTCGTCCAGGAGTCAATGCTGACTCGAAAGCACCAAAACAATAACAACTATAGTCCACTTTTGCCTGCATCCCATCAATTAGCAGATGCATACAATGTACAGACATACTCAAAAGAGTTGAGTATGTTTAGAAAAGCATAGTGGCATGAATATGTCACCTAAGAGATATGTAGTAGTAGTAGTAGAGTAGTAGTAGTAGTAGTAGTAATAATAAATAATAATAATAATAATAATAATAATAATAATAATAATAATAATAATAATAATAATAATAAATTCAATATCAAAGTTAGTTACCAAGCATGAAAAGGTATGCTGAAAAGTATCAAGGTCAGGGTTGGATAGTGTTGAGATCCTCAAAAAAGAAAGAGATAAGGAAAAAAAAGTGTTTATGAATTGATGTATGTGTAGCTGCAAGGTATGAAGGGATATACTGAATGGTGTCAATATGAACCTTATTAAGATTTTCTTTTCTTTCTTATCTCTTGCTTCTGATTTGTTCTGCTTACTATTTTTACAGTTTTTCTGTGCTGCTGTATAACTCTACTTGCCTCAAAAAGAACATGATGTCTACATAGGCATGTCTTATTAAATATATTCCTGTATTTGATAATTTTATATTTCTGTCATAGTAAAAGTTACAATTAGATGCAACTTCTAGGAACCTGAGTATTGCACTCAAAGCTTTTGTGGGCTGCATATGTCCCTCTAATTTTATACTGTTGCTGTACTTCAGGGGTGTCAAACTCAAGGCCTGTAGGCCGGATCCGGACCACGGGATGCTTAGTTCTGGCCCATGGGGCCACCCTGGAAACAGCAAAGGACCAGCCCACACTGTCTCTGCCAAGGAAAGCGGAGCTTTATTTCGCTGGTAGATGGCTAGCAAAACAAACTAAAAATAAAACAAAAGGAGAAATGTTTCTCTTTTGCATTTGAGTATACAAGAAGGGACAGGAAAGCAGAAAAGTAAAGAGGAAAGAAAAAGAAAAAGATGAGAAGATGGGAGGGAGGGAGGGAGGGAGGGAGGGAAGGAAGGAAAGGAAGGAAGGAAGGAAGGAAGGAAGGAAGGAAGGAAGGAAGGAAGGAAGGAAGGAAGGAAGGAAGGAAGGAAGGAAGGAAGGAAGGAAAATTATAATGAGAGTGAGGAAGGGTCTGAGGGAAGTCCTGCCTTAGCACTTGGCCATCGCAGGTGCCCCCGACACAAGTGATGTTGAGCTGGCCACGCCTCCCCAGTCACGCCCCCAGCTCCCAGAGGTCAAACACAATCCTGATGCGGCCCTCAATGAAATTGAGTTTGACAAACCTGCTGTACTTCATTCAATGAAGTGTTTCAAAGCATTAATGGATAGTAGAAGAATGAAGCTGGCAGTATATAAATTTAATATTATATGGCTCTTAATGAAGGTCAAAAATGGTGCCAATCAAGAATATATTTACAAATCCACGTGATGAAGGAAATATTTTAACTATCAAAAATTCAACAATGATTATTATTAGAACTTTTAAAATGAGTTTTGCACCTTAATGAGAAACTATTTAGCACATGGGTGTCAAACTCACATCATCACGTTGTCGTCATATGATGTATCAGGACTTTCCCCCCCTTCGCTAAACTGGGCGGGGGTGGGGCCAGCATGTGACGCATCTGGCCCGTGGGCCGCAAGTTTGTCACCCCTGATTTAGCAGAATTTGAGAGACTATCCTTATACTGTACATACCCAACACAGTTTGGAAATAACTGTTTTCACACACAGCTACCTGAGTTGGGAAAGAGGAAAGTAGGAAACAGTTCTAATTTACCATCTACTGTGCTGAAGAAACTACTATTTATATCACTCCTTAACTATTTTTGTTCCTCCTCAGAGGTAGGTTCCTGTCCTAAAAAATATGAACATCTCAAGAAATGACCTTGCTCTTAATTATGTTGCTCTTGATGCTCTTTCTCTGATCTTTTTTTTTTTTTTAAACCAAAGGAAAATAAGCAAGTTATCTTGTAACCAATTCCGTTAAAATGATTAGCTCCTCTCTGGGCTTCAGGCAAGTTTTGCAGTCTTGGGATGGCTGAAGTAGCATGTTTTAAAATATAATTTCTTGTTGCAGCATCTTCTATGCATAATGTGACACCAGAAGCACAATGCTCTTATTTCATGGGATTGTTCTTTTCAGATTACGCCAGAGATTATGATACAAAGACTGAAGATTGGAGGCATCTGGAATTCTCAGAAAAGGCAAAATGCTTTATCAGGCTGACTGTTTGCTTCTATTTGCTCTTGCATTTTCTGGTGGATTCACTTTGCTTAGTATTCAACCTAGACAATAATGCATCAAATCAATGTGATGGAAAATACAACTTAGTGGAATTGACTGAAGCAACTATACTACTGAGCCTATCAATTTAAGATGTAGCCTAATTTCATGTAATGTTGACATAAGAAGGATTTTGTTATATATTATCCAAGCCCATACAAACTCCATCCATAATTTAAATTTATTTAAATGACAAGCAATGTAAACCATGGAACAAAAGGATTCCATATAATTATCTCATGTACAAGGGAGTAATTATTTAATCTAATCTACCAAGAATAGGAGAGGAAGTCAGTGCATTAAGCCTAAAGCAGGGCTGTCAAACTTCCGGCCCGAGGACCGGATGCATCACACACTGGCCACACCCACGCCCAGTTTAGTGAAAGGGAAAATGTCACGATAAAGCAAGTAACACCACCGTGACAATGCAGTTACAGAATACTCAAGCTTAATAACAAAAACTGGAAAGGATTAGTAGCTTTCAAATGATATGCCTTCAGATATTAAGAGTGCCTTAACAAGAAAATTAGCAATGAAAAACAAGCTTCTTTGAAAATAGCTTGTCCAGTGCTGATTTCCCTCTGCAAGGCATTCCCTCTGGTACAGGATAACATTGCTAGAAATTTTCAAAACGTTCTCATTCATTAGTAGTCCTCTGCATTATACTTTCTTTCATAAAAGGGAGGAAAGCTTCTCATATTGCATTGCTGTGTTTTGTGGAATGCACAAGAATTGAGCTTGAGTTTAACAGCCAAGAAAACAGTGGAACTCTCTCCGCATATTCTCTGGAAAAAAGGAGTGGAGGTGACATGGTAACAGTGTTCCAACATCTAAGAAGCTGCCACAAAGAAGATGGGGGGCGGGGGTTGAACCTTTTCTCCAAAGCACCTGAAGGCAAGACAAGAAGATATGGATGGAAACTAATCAAGGAGAAAGCAACCTAGAAATAAGGAGAAATTTCCTGACAATTAATCTGTGGAACAGCTTGCCTTCAGAAGTTGTGGATACTCCATCACTGTAGGTTTTTAAGAAGAAATTGGACATCCATTTGTGTGAAATAGTATAGGATGTCCTGTTTGAGCAAGGGTTGGAATAGAAGATCTCCAAGGTACCTTCCAACTCTGTTATTCTATTATGTATTCTGGAATACTTAATAGAAGAAAAGAAAGAGGAAAGACACTTCATGAGTGAGAATCTTATACATGCACAGAGAATCCAACTTAAATCTTTAGAATTCACAAGCACCAACTTTATCAGATAAAAATACTTTATTATAAAACAATATATGCTTGGTTTTATTGCATAGCGCTAAGTAGTAAGAGAATTATAACCACTTTTTTTGTATTATTGCAATAAATTATTATTAATAGCGCTAAATTATAAATACAAACAACTGTCTTCAAATCCATTAGAGGGAAAATGCAGTACTGGGAATATTCATACACAAAAGACTAAAAAATATCCTGCCCTTTTGCTTACCTGTTTATACAACAGCATTCCAAACAACACGTTCTAAATAAAAACTCTGCAATGACCTCCGGGAAACCAAAAATGTGTTTTTAAATATTCACATACATGCCTCAATTATCCATGTTCAAGTTTTTACTCACCATATTTAAAGGCAAGTATCCACAGGGTAGTAGAACACAGTTTGAAGAAAAACATAACAAAAACATGGGAAGTATTCCACTTTCCATTTTTTTTAGTCAATGGAGTTGCCATATAAACCTGATGAGATATATTGCTTTGTTAGCACAGTAATAAATTTGGATCACCAGTGTATTAGGAGGCCAACTTAATTAGGCCGCAGAACTCAATGACAGCGTTATTAGCAGTAAAACGGCAATCAACTGCAGCACAAGATGTAAAACTTGATCTTCCCAAAGCATTTATCCCTGGGGGCAAGGAGTTCTGATTGACTTCTGGGGCATTTGTAAGCAGGGAGCCTGATCCAGCTGTCCCATGCAGAGACAAAACCATTCTCTGTTGAAGTTGCAGGGATTACTCAGCACACAAGTCTCACAGCTGTACCGTATAAATTTTTTACATTGCAAAACATACTTAAGTGCGTTATTGTACACTTCACAATTTAACTATGTTTGTTCTGTCATTATTTTCGGTAGAGTTCTATAAAATAATCTGCATTATCTTAAAGCAAAATTAAAGCAGTCACTATATATTCTATATTTAAAAGTGCATATTAATGCCCACGGGGTTATCTCCTACTTAAAAGTATAAATGGATCTTGTCCGATAAGACTTAATAGAAAAAAACCCAATGTCAGTATCTCAAAAGCAATAGTTCAACAGAGTTTGTTGAGACCATCATTTTGAAAATACTCATTAAAGACTATGCCGCAATCAGAACTAGGAATAACATGGTTGAATCTAAGTCAGTCACGGTTGCTCACTAGAGGCTACAGAAATTAATGAAGTTTGAGAACTTTGAATCTATAGATTCCCACCTTAAAGGTTTTCCAATGAAAAAATACTTTCTTTTAAGGCAGGAATTTCCTGAGCCTATCACTGTGATTTTCCTTGGCAAGTCAGGTTTATTCAGTAAGTCTGCCACAAGCAAAGTATCTGCAACCATGGATGCCTTTAACACTAGATTTGGCGACTGGCACCAGCCTCTCAATTTGTCAACTATGAAAGAAGTAAATAGAAGTGAAATACTTTTTCAACTGGTAAAATATGCATTTTCATCATGCTAATTAGCTCTACATGCATTTTCTCATGTTGATTTCAATGCATCTATATGGGAAAAAAAATGAGCACATAGAACAATTTCCTTCACATATATAAATAAGGCATCTAATTTTTAAAGCCATTAAAGATTCAGATGTTTTGTAAAATTTTGGTAACAAATCACTTCATTGAGCAACTACACAGAATAAGTTCGTAAATCAGACTGTGAATTTCATCTGAATAAGAACACAAACCCCTCATGCTTTCTTCTCCTTAGCAACAATGCATGCAGTTTAAGCAACAACCAAGTCTACACCATCCTTATTTATTTATTTATCCTGATTTTTTTTTATTTTATTTTTTGCAAAATTGAAAAACATTTAACAATGAAAAATAAGATGTATGGATAGGGGATACAATATATTTATTTACCTCATGTGAATTTTTGTAGTCCAAAAGTAAATTTGCTGCTTTAATATCCCCATGCACATATTCATTTTCATGAATATATTCCAAGGCATCTAGCTAGTGGGCAAGGAAAGACTGTATTACAAAGGAAACCAGTATTTGTATTTATATTATAATCATTCCCACAATATTATTTAAAGACTTAACAAGTTTTCTTAAATACATGAAGGGAAATATTACAGGTAGTCTTCAACTTACAATTGACCACTGAGCCCAAGATTTCTGTTGCTAAGCAAAATCATTTGTTAAGTGAATTTTGCCCCACTTTACGACTTCTCTTGCCACAGATCTTAAGTGAATCATTGCAGTTTTTAAGTTAGTAGTTCAGTTGTTAAGTGAATCTGGTTTCGCAATTGAGTTTGCTTGTCAGAAGATTGCAAAAGGAGATCAAATGACTCCAAGATACTGCAACCATTATAACTGTGAGTCAATTGTCAAGCTTATGAATTTTGATCACTGACCATGGGGAAGCCACAATGGTCTTGAATATGAAAAACGGTCATAAATGCCATTGTAATTTTGAACAATCACTAAATGAACTGTTGTAAGTTGAGGACTACCCATATTTTGAAGGAAAAACATTTCTTAATCAAGTGAAAAGGCAAAGTAAACGATTTAATTAAACATATAAATATATAATATTTTGGTAATATACTACTAGTATACTTTGAATAATTACTTAAAAGGGGCGAGTAGAGACTAACAGCCAATTTTTAGATTTCAAGTAATAAAAATATATGTAAGTCATGATAGACTAAAAAATCTTTTAGTTTTAGCTCAAGTTTAGTTTTAGCTCAAGTTTTAATTAATTAGCTTCAAATATTTACATCAGAGGAAGAGAAGGATGGAGAAAGTCCTTCTCCTTTGTAGTCATTCTTTCAAGCTACATTAAACAAAGACCATTTAAAAATACATATGCAAGATAGTTCTTAGAAAGGTCCATTGATCCCCATCCCAGGTTTATTCTGAGGTTTTATACCTACCACCTGTATCCCAATATGCAGAACAGTTTCCTTGTTAAATTTTCTCTCTTGTCTTTCAAAGATGGTTTGAACATCTTCTCCTAATCTTTCCATCACCATAAATCTGTAACTAATATAGTATGACCATAAAGAAAAACAATGAGAACATACTGCCCCTTACATAAAAAGTCAACAACAAAAGCAAATGTATATGAGTGAAATAAACTGATTTGTTTTACTAGATTAGATACTAATCCACCTAATGTGACAGCAGTCTCCAAGATGTTACGCAAAGCATATCCTTTTTTGACATTATCCTAAAGGGCTTCCTGATTTCGTTCAAGAAAGGTCTATTAAAATTCCCTACCCCAGAATTCTTGTTCAGCTCTGCTGTATTGTAACATCTTCCTTACCTTTTACCAAGATGTTTGACTTGGCCTGATCCCAAGAAAACAGGAACGCCTAAAAATGTTAATTGTTTCAGCTGCATCCACTTTTTGACTGAGAAAAGATGAGAGGAAAGCAGGTTCTTTAAAACTCTCCTGCTTTTTTAAAATAAAACTTAACTATGATTTTTGGAAATATCAGAATACAATGTTATGAAAATGTATATACACATTAGATACATTTGCTAAAAATAACACTGAAATAAAGTTAAATTTTCATAAGTAATTATTCCCAAGCTATTATTCCTGAAAAAGTATTAATAGTAGCTTGAAATAGGACACGTCTGTTGCATGACTTACTATGTTCTTGTTTTGCAGCTCGTTGGTAGAATTTCAGTTCTGAAAATAAGGGCCCATTTTCAAGATATTCCTATACAGATATACATAAAAAAGCACTAAGTTTCATGTCAAGTATGTGTTACACATAATTGAGTGTTACACATAAATAGGGAAAGTATTAAGAAGTGGAGCTTGATTAAATAGGAGGAGAAAGGACAACCACACATCAGCTTTGTCTAGTCACCCCATCTAGATTTTATTTGACTTGAAATCCAGAACAACCAAGGCATTCCAGTCTCCAGTTCTGCTTAACTATGCTTGGCTTGAAACAGTCTGGAAGAATTTTGTAAAGCAGACCTTTCTGACTATACATTACAGAATTTTCAAAAAGGAATGAAATCACTAGTATGGGACACTTTGATAACTGAAACATTTTTTGGGAGACTGATTTTGCCCTTCATGGTCCTTCTAAGAAATTTGTAATTTCTGTTGTGATAACTTTGTCTTTCAGGTCACGGAGAAAGCCACAAGCAAATCAGGTATCCTTGACTTCTTATTAATCAATAGGAAAGATTTCAATATTGTACTAAGGAGATTAAGGTAAACTTCCCAAGTAATTTTGAAAAGACTATTTTAATTAAATATACCATTATTTTTTTCCCCAATCCAAACCAATTTGGAAAAGATACTAAGTAAAGTTGCTCAAACTCTGCCCATCTATCTACTGCACAGTAACTCTAAAACCTGAACACAGTAGAGCCAGATTTGGTAGAAGAAGCTAGCAAAAGAAAGATGGAATCAACAAGCTGGAGGCTATAGCTATTCAATAAATAAATAAATAGCTATCTCCATCTCTAATTGGGAAGTGGATTGGAATATTACTGAGTACTCCATTCTAAGTATTATTTTTTTCTGGTCACATGATCCAGAGCAGAGCATACAAAGCTCACTGTATGCTTTCCAGTCCACACACCATGTGATGGAATGTAATAGGTTGGATTCCCAGGAGGAAAGTCTGCATTCCAGAGAAATAAGAGACCAACTCAGTTTAGATAGTTTGTGTGAAAGAAAGATGGTGAAGATGGCCTTTTTCTAACAGTTCGCAAAGTAAATGTTCATGTAGGTAGTAGCCTGCCTTAGTTTGGCAAGATGTTGTCTATAGGTGAGGAAAAATAAAGAAATTGTTGGAAGAATCACTGTGTCTTTCTTGCTTTTAGAACCTGAGAATCCAACATAGACAGATGTAACATAAGAGGAGAGCTGAAACACAAAAGTACTCATCAAAAGGCAAGATCACCAACAACACAATACTGATACCTCCTATAACAACTGTTAGTAAAGTTTGGAAAGAATACCAGAATCAGGGTAATACCTCGTGTTAACTTTTCTAATTTTCTTTTTCCTTCCTTGATCATTTCGTAAGACTGTGATTGATAGAGCAAGGATTGTCTTGCCCTAAAATGTTCTGTGAATCTTCTGTCTAAAAGTAATCAACCAATGAAACAGCTTGCCTTCGGAAGTTGTGGCATTCATCACTTGAGACTTTCAAGGAAAGATTGGACTTATAGGGTCTCCTGCTTGAGTAGGGGGTTGGACTAGATGACCCACAAGGTCCCTTCCAACTCTGTTAAAATCTGTTAGTACACTCACTTCGAATAAACAAAAATGTAACAGAAGAATGCAATTCCATTGGATTAGAAACAATAAAAAGGCAATATTTTTAAAGTTGTAATAATTACCACTTTAATGACATACACAGCATTGTTTTCTACAGGAACATCAAGATAAGGGGAAGCTGCAAGATAAAATTAAGGCAGAGAAAGTTATGGAAGACTTGAGCCACTTTATCTAGAAGTGAATTTCAACTCAACAAGAGAAGATATGGTGTAGTTATATTCCTGCATAAATATTAAAAACTGGAAAAGCATTTTTCTTTAACAAGAATTTGGCTATAAATGAAATAATGTAATTTTTTTATTGTTTTCTTCATAATATGTGATAAAGCTTTATCATTAACTTTTTTCTTATTTTTACAAGATTTAAAATAGTATACCAGGAAGTCACCAGTTTGACTTCAATTTATTCAGTGACTGGACTAGAACAGACTTGGAACAGCAGGCTTCCCCATGTACATAATTTAAGACAGCTTTTCTTAAGGTGGATATGATTAGATACATGGAGTTCACGCCACTTTCACCACTTTCACCCAAGACTATGCTGGCTGGATAATTCTGGGAGTTGAACACCACATATCTAGGGAAAAAGAGGAACCTTTTCTTTTTGAGGAACCTTGATTCAGAATCCAGAACTCCTACATGTTAAACCTTCTGAGCAGAAGTAAGTAGTTTCTCATCCCCATATTGGCTATATCCATATTTTCCTCTCCTTATTTTACAATAGGAAATGGATGACTTCCAATGGGACACTGAAATTCACCCCAGTCTAATTAGTCCTTTTGCATTAACTTCTGTCCCATGCTTTATGAAAATATGTCCAATGATGTCCAATGAAGAAGCACTAGTATTCATTTGACATGATTCATGGCAGGCCCATTCCAGGTGGATCTTCTCCAGATATCATTTCAGTTTTACCTCTTAGAAACTCAACTATTAATTCTAATCAAGTTACGATTGTCTTTCTACACAAACTTCTTCTAACCTGTACATAACCTCATACGGTTTTTAAGTTAGTCTGCAGAGCTATCCAGGAGCCTGGATAGCTCTGCAGACTAAGCACTGTAATTTAACACCAGCTGTCTGCAATTAAAGTAAGTTCGAATCTCGCCAGGCTCAAGGTTGACTCAGCCTTCCATCCTTTCTAAGGTAGGTAAATTGAGGATCCAGTTTGTGGGGGCAATAAGCTAACTTTGTATAAAATATACAAAAGTATGAAGGCTATTGCTTAACGCACTGTAAGCTGCCCTGAGTCTCCGGAGAAGGGCGGCATATAAATCAAATAAAAAAAAAAATCTGGTCAAAGTAATTTATTAAACTTTGAATAAAGAATATATCAATATAAGCAGTTGAAATCCAAATCAGAATACAGAATAATTGAAAGGGGAAGAAATTGGCTATCTTTGCCCTACCATGTTATTCTATCATTTTGACCACCTTCATTGGAAAAGATAATATATGTACTTGCAGGATATAATGAGGACATCTAATAATAACCTCTAGCTGTTCAAATCAAATGTTTTAATCTTTCATTTGCACTTCTCTTCCATTTTATCCATGTACTTACTTTATTAATAAACCCAATATTGGTTTGGTTATACTGGTATAAACACAAGGTTTTCTTAATTTGGGCAAACAACTTTAATAAAAAGATGCCCAATGCATCCATTTTACACAGAGTAACACATCTTTTACAGCTAACCAAATATTAACCACTGAAAGTGCTCTGTGATAAGGGGGGAAAAAAAAGTATCCTCTGCCTGCCCAGCATGAGTTCTGCCATTAAGCCATGGCTGTTCCCCATAGCTTTTGTTAGTTTCACACGCAAAAGTAACATCAGAGCACACTTCTGGAGAATATTGCTTTTTTTTCTCCCCACACAATGATAACCTGGCACCATGGCACCCAGAAGTCCGACAAAGTAACTTGCTGGTTTTGCTTGCCAGCTGGAACCTACAAATTTCCATGTACAACAGTTTATTTGTGTAGCAATCATCTCCTGGAATAATGGAAAAAGTGCCTGCAGTACATCTTGTGGAGTCAGTTTTGCAGGCAAAGTTTACACAGAGGGAAGAGGAAAGCAGTGCCTATTGGCAATTAAACAGAATTCCCAACTCTTGTCCACAGCTGATCTCATTGCCACTGCTGGAGCTCTGGCAACAAATACTCATTTTGCAAATATGGATGGCCTCAAGAAAGTGGAGGTTTGTTCGCGAGCATGCTGTGGTTATAAAAATTTGAAGAGTAATAATTTCCTATGGGTTTTACTTATATGTTAACTTCACAATATCTACAATCTGTAGACATTCCAAGATCAAAAAGTACCAATTCTGGTGATTTTTTTTCAAAATTCTTTACAAGTTTTGCAAAGTAACAGCTATGAAGGCAGGATTTACTTTTATGTTTTCCTTCATTTTTTTGTATCACCCTTCACTAGTCAGGTGCCCTTCAGGTGTGTTAGAAAAACTTATAGAATTCCCATCTGATAAGCCAAGATGTATAAACTAAATAAATCTGAAAGTCCTCTGGTCAAGGAAATCTTATTTACATATTTCTCCTGTCCCAATCTTCCACTTCTACTCAAATCAGCAATGAAGCTAAATGGGCATGAAACTGTTTAGTACTCAAACTGGAGACCAAGGAAACATCACTTTAACAATTTTTAGTCCTGCAAAACTAAAGCAAGGCAATAATATTTATATAATGTAAAATTATTTTAATCAAGGAAAGTAAAACATTTGCTAGCTTCTGCCTGAGTACTAATCCTATTAAACTATCCATCTGGCATTTAAGGTGCCAGTTCTTTAATCTTATCTGATATACTCCTGGTTTCTACCCCAAGTGCAAGTGAGAAAAATAACTATGTTGAAACCAATCCTGAACATGTTCCCCATCAATTCTCCACAACTCTCAACTCTGCAAGCAGGGTTTGTGGGGCAAAGTAGAACCAACAGAATAATCAATCACTGAATTGTTTTGCACTATGAAGTACAATTATATAAAGAAGTATTTGAAAATTACACACAATGGAAGAAATGGATAGTGAATATCCTGGAACTTGCTGAGATAGTCAAATTGACTCCTTTAACTAGAAATACCATAGGACCGTGATGGCGAACTTATGGTACACATGCCTGAAGTAGCACATGTAGTCATGTTGCCTAGCACATGTGGCGTCACCCTGTTCCTCTTCTGGGTTTCTAGCATGCACGCGCATGCAAAGATCAGCTGGCCTTTTTGCATTCAGCAGTGCCAGAAACTGGAAGAACTGGTGTTCCGTTTTCCTGCGTGAGCATGCACACCAGCCAGCTGATCGTTGCACATGTATGCGCACCAGAAGCCTGAAAAACTAGCTGGCCAGCACACATGTGCGCACTGGAAACCAGAAGTTCATTTTCGGGCATGTTCATGCGCCCTGGCCAGCTCCTCTTCCAGGTTGTGTCCCAGACAAGCATGCACAGATACACACGCTCCCTTTTTGGCACTTGGTGCCAAAAAGGTTCACCATCACTGCCATAGGACATTGTCAGGGCCGGATTTAGATGAAAAGAGGCCCTAGGCTATTCCACTTATGAGGCCCTTTCACCTATAGTGAAAGTGTAATTTTAATTTTGCTAACAATTTGAATGTAGGCCCCTCTTGATCTTGAGGCCCTAGGCTGAAGCCTAGTTAGCCTATAGGAAAATCCGGCCCTGGACATTGTTAAAAGTTAATGATTGAAAACCCCTTACTGACTCTTTACAAGAAACAGAAAAAATAATGTTATATGATTTTGAAAATTAGAATAAAAATAATATTGAGAAAATGTACATAATACTGTAATCATAGTTAAGAAATTTTATATCTATAATTATAATGGCTGAAAAAGAAAGTAAGAAGTCACTGCTTTATTTTTTTTATTTTATTTTTGCATCGTCTTTGTTCTTTTTTTTTCTTTCCTTTCTTTTTTCTCTCTTTTATTCTAAATATTTGTTACTAATTTTCATTCTGTATTATAAATTAATAAAATTTATCAGAATGAAATATTCAGAAATTATGTGTTTTTATTTATTACAACATTTGGTTTGGAACAGCAATTTTAAAAATAGCACAATTTGATACTGAATCAGAAAAACAACATGACTCAATTTCATATTCAAATCAAGGATTCAAAGTTCCTTTATCAAGATATGATAAAGTACTGTAACTTAAAAAAAAAACTTTCAGCTGTTTGAGGTTGCAAACAAAAGTAGACCCTTAAAACAGAAGAAATGTCTAATTTCATGATTTACATGCAAAGGTTTTGGAAGGTGGCCCTTTAAATCCTAATTATTATTCAGATTATTATTCAGGAAAGTATAGTTTCCCTCCTTTTATAAAGTGGGATCCTTTTTATAACGTATTAAATCTCTTTTGCAGACAAAATATAAACCTCAATATTCACATCTGAAGTGTCTATGATATCATAGTGGACTTCTAGGAAGCAAAAAAAAAAAAAAGGTGAGGGGGACATAGAACATATCTATTTCTTAGTTACATTGAGAGATGATTCCAAGTAGTAAGTCTCCCACACAAAATATTTCATATTACATGTCTTACCTAGATAGACCAAGCCAAAACCTCCATAAGCAATCATAGGACCCAGCCTCCATTTCCGTTTTTGGGTATCTGTCAATATTATTCCTTCTTGAAGAGGATCTGGGAGGTTGTTTTTCCCCTTTTTGGGAGGCATTATGCCTGAACATAAGAAATCAAAGACAATTCTTAGAAAAAGCAGCACATGCTGTTTCTCCATAGACTTATATTTTTTTAAAAAAAACCCATCATAATACAGATATCAGCAAGCTTAACCTCTTTGTAACACCTTAAAGTGATTCAGCTGATGATATAAGAAGTCCTTGCTGAATATAATTGAAAAGGGCAGCTTTGGCCATAATATAAATCACCTTTAGATGTGAGAAATACAAGAGATAGAATGTTATAATAAATATATAACAGTGATAATTTGCCTTGTCAGTTTCAGCTGTTCAAAGTGAATATGCCCAGATGTCTTTAGTAAATAACATCTCTTCCCTTGTAAACTACAAGCATTTGACTTTATTCTAGCAGTGATGTTTGAATGGATCTTCACTTGTTAGATACATTTGGTAAGAATGTATCTGCCCCCTCTTCAGTATACATTTATCTAACTTTGTTTCTCATGAATAATAGGCAGTCTTTTCTTCTTGAGACAAAGTTTGAAAACCCCTTAAGATAATTGAAACTGAGCATCATGCAATATTGCCTGTGATGTTTTGAGCAGTATTATCAATTTATTATACTTTTCAGCTGTCTTTATGTACACAACTGCTTGCTTATACTTTAGCTGTAACTACAGCATTTCAGATAAAAACCTTGAGTGATTTTGATACAATGCATGGTTGGTTTCAGTGCTCTAAACCCATGTTGACTAGGCAGCCAAAAATAGTACATTGTGAAGACTTAAAATAAGCTCACAGCAAAAAGTATCTTTAATACTTTTGCATGCTTGGGTTCTCTCCCCTCTTAAGATGCAAGAAGAAAAGGGATCAGTTAACAAATGTGAGGAGAAACATTTTCCTTCTACTTTTATTAATCCCACACTACAGGAATAGGGGAGGTTCTGATTCCAAGACTGGTATCAAAATCCCAAACCCAATTTTTCAACCTTTTTTCTTATCATGGAAAAAAAAGGTGAACACTTTACTCTTTTCATTAGTTATATCATAACATCTGGTTTTTTGTTTTTTTTTTAAAGTGGAGAGGAGGCATTTTTCCTGCCATAGAAATAAGTAGAAGAAAACTCACTTGCTTAATGTCTGTGTGACAGCAATTGAAAATAAAGTGATAAGACCAAGTTCACAAAAAGGTAATGGCAATTCAAAAATTCAAATTCTAGAAAGCGAAACAACTCTGTGCTTCTTCTTTCATTCAAACCAGGGCAAGACAATATTTAAAAGCAAGAACAAGATTGATTAAAAGTATGTGCTGCAACATAGTGTTTCCCAGGAATGATAAACTCCAGCCTCTATGGTCCCAAGGCAAGGTTAACTTTTTTTTATTATTATTTTTTGCAAACCCTGACTTCCATATAAAACTAAAGGCAACTGTGACTCCAGCTGGACCAGCAATTATATAAGTGAGAATTGTGAGTACTTTATATCCCACAGGGTACTTGAAGAATGATTTATACTGTAGATAAGTTTGAAATTAAAAATAATACATTGTTATAGATTACTTGTATTTTATTACTTTTTCTTATTTAAAAAGAAATGTGCTTTGCCTCCAGAGATAAAATATAAATAAAAGATATATTAATGTTTGTACGTATTCATATAGTTCTCAATATTCAATAATATCTCAATATTCAACTACATTCCCATCGACCAAGAAAGGAACAGCCCAGGATGAAACATGCTAACTGTGCTTTGGAGTTTGAAGGATTCCCTGGAATTAACATATTAAGTCAAGCTTTCCTTACAACTCTGTCCTCCATATGAGGGAATACTACCTGTTTTCCTACAGAGCATCCAAAAAACAGGTGGGAGGCATTGTGCCCATCCTATCAACTCCAACAAACTCCTATCTTTGTGGAGGCTACATTTATGATAGGATACTCCCAGCAGCAGCCTTTAAAGAGAGAATTCATTCCTCAGCTTTCCAGAATCTATAATAGTACCTACACATCAGAGGTAGGTTTCATCAGGTTCTGAACAGTTCTGGAGCAGAAATTTTGAGTAGTTCGGAGAACCGGTAGTAAAAATTCTGACTGGCCCCGCCCCCATCTATTCTCTGCCTCCCAAGTCCCAGCTGATCTGGAGGAAATGGGGATTTTGCAGCATCCTTCCCCTGGAGTGGGGTGGGAATGGAGATTTTACAGGATCCTTCCCCTGCCACGCCCACCAAGCCACACCCACAGAACCGGTAGTAAAAAATTTGGAAACCCACCATGCTACACATATGAAGAAAGCACCAAGAACTTTGGAATAACTTCTCGGGTTATAGTCTAGGAGGACTATTTGGAGACGGGACACATTAAAAACATTTACTTATTTAAGAAACTTTATATAGCCTCCCAACTCTCTCTCTCTCAGCGAGTCGGGGCGGCTCACTTCACTTCCATTAAGCCTGCAAACAGCGAGTAGTAGGCAAGACAGAATTAATTGAGGAGATGACTAAGCATAAGCCACAAATGGAGCAGAGCCGACCGTGGAGCTGCCCACAGGACAGCGGACAGTTGCCTTTTTCCCTTGACTCTCATGTTGTTTACTGACACCATTACTCTGGCGCCCAAAAATTGCAAAAAGTCAAGACAAGAGGAGAATGCGCGGAAAGCTCTTCGCTTGGGAGACTGGAGAAGTTGAGGAAGAGCAGCCCACACATTAACTCTTCTAAGGCGAGGAACAGTCCTCCCCGGGCCCCACAACGGCACAAAGACAGCCGTTTACCACCTTCGCCGCCTCCCCCCCCCCCTCCCCCATTCCCTTGTGTGGGAAGAGCCGTATCTCCACTTACCCCCCTGGAGAAGTAAGGCCACGCCCCCGCCTCTCTCGCACGCGCTCGGCGCTCCTTCCCTTTTTTTCCTCTTCTCCCAGGAGTTCCTCTGACGCTGGGCAATCCCAAGGCAAGCCTTCGCGGCTAGCGGCCTATCAGAAGAAAGCGTATTACGGCCGAGCGCCGTTCGGCTCCCAGGCACGTGACGCGGCACCGAAAATTACCAGTTCGGGATTAAAGTAACGGCGGTGTGAAGGGGAGAGGCCAGTCAGCGAGGCGATTAGTTGCGCTTCTCCTCTAGCCCAGGGTTCTCCAACGTTGGCAACTTTAAGCCTGGCGGACTTCAACTCCCAGAATTCCCTTGCCATCTTTGCTGGCTGGGGAATTCTGGGAGTTGAAGTTACCAAGGTTGGAGACCCCTGCTCTAACCCAAGACCAAGCCAATCGGAAAAAGCGGAACAGAACCCATCTTCTTTCATTGAATAGAATAGAATTCTTTATTGGCCAAGTGTGATTGGACACCCAAGGCATTTGTCTTGGTGCATAACCGTGTACATAAAAGAAAAGACACATTCCTCAAGAATCATAAGGTACAACAGTTACTGATAGCCATAGGGAACAAATAAGGAAGGAAAGAGATGAGGAGGGCTGAGATGTGCAGAAGAGAGAAAAGAAGGGTTGCCAACCAAACTGATGGGTATTGCTTTAAATCATAATTATTTATTAAACTTGTATGCCGCCTCAGTGACTTTGGGCAGCTCATGACAATCAAATTATAGTCAAATTAATAAATCAAAGATGGCAATTGTGGGATGGAGATTGAGTCGAGGGGCCGCACAATCACTGGCCAAAAGCCTAGGTTGAAGAACCAGGTCTTCCCAGCTCTTCTAATCAACAGCACAGTGGCAGCCATCTAAATCTGGGGTGGAGGGAAACTTCACTTCAGAGAGTTCCTCTACTGCTATAGAGAAGGCACTTTTCCAGGATCTCGATAGATGACATTGTTCAATTGTCGGGACTTGAATAAGCCAACCCTGAAAGATAGAATTAGTGGGGCAGATGTTCCCTCAGATAACCAGGACCTACTCAGTTAGAGCTTTAAAGGTAACAACCAGCACATGGGAGCAAAATGGCAACAGTCCAGGTCAGAAATCAGAGGTGTTTCATAAGCACACCAAGGTATGCTCGTCACTGCTGGTTCCACTGCATTCTGGACCAGTTGAAGTTTCCAGGTGGTCTTCAAGAGCAGCCCCAGATAGAATGCATTGCAGTAATCAAGCTTCATGCTTCTTAAGCGTTTTAACTGTTCCTTTTGCCTATCATGGAACTATTTTAATATGTGATTGCTACATATAAATTCTTTCTAGTTTTTTTTAATCCCTGCAGCATGTGAAATTGAATCAGTTGCTACCAGCCTGTGTATATCCTGCTTCACAGAGATTTTGTAGCATAAGAGAGGTGGCTACCCTCTGGCTACATCACAGAGTTGTAAGGATTAAAAAGGCAGAATTATGTGCATGGGATGTAAAATACCGTTCATTGATGATCTTGGTGACATTTTGAGGCCATCTTGGACTTTCGCAACCCAGAAAGGCTATACCATTATATGGCAGCAAAAAGAGGATCCTAAATGAGTCTGATTGACAGGAATCCACCCCTTTATAAAGTCATGGGGCCTTCCCAGAAAACAAGCTTTCTCTGTTGTGGCCCAATCAGAGGTGGGTTTCAGCAGGTTCTGACCAGTTCTGGAGAACTGGTAGTGGAAATTTTGAGTAGTTTGGAGAACCTGTAGTAAAAATTCTGACTGGCCCCGCCCCCATCTATTCTCTGCCTCCCAAATCGCAGCTGATCGGGAGGAAATGGGGATTTTGCAGTAACCTTCCCCTGGATTGGGGACAGAATAGAGATTTTACAGTATCCTTCCCCTGGAGTGGAGTGGGAATGGAGATTTTACAGTATCCTTCCCCTACCACGCCCACCAAGCCACACCCTCCAAGCCATGCCATGCCATGCCACGCCCACCAAGCCACACCCACAATAGTAAAAAAATTGAAACCCATCACTGAGCCCAATCTCTATAGAACAAGCTGGCAGTGAAAATAATCTTGTTTACATAAGGCTATACTGTAAATTGCTAAGTATTTTTAAATGTTGAATGAAACTATTTTAGTCTATTTATGAAAGATAAATATGCAATGATCTACTTACTTTTTCTTTTTTCCAAAGTCCATTTTCTACATCCATATAGATGTAGAATCCTGTTCCAGTTCAGGATTCTATATATGACCTTCGGAGTAGTACCAGCAAAAAACATTACCCCCATCTACCCTCATACACATGCATTACACATTACAGGCATTTACAATCACCCCGTGCAAGTTAAAAAAAAATAAAGCCAGTTTGGAGCCCAATTTTCAAGAAGTGAACAGAAAGAGGAGTTATAACCCTCACAGCTTTGTAGAAGCCTGACCCAAGTAGGATTGATATCCTGTATATTTTCCCACAGTAAAGCAAAAGAAACAGGAAATTACATATTTCATTGGAAATAAGTTGAAATTATTTTGTCTAAACTTAAGTGAAACAAGCTGTTGAAGAGTGGCATGTAAATTTGACAATAAAGCCAAATGCAGTTTTAATGTGGAAGAGCAGGCTGTTTAACTAAATTTCTGGTACTTCTACTGCTTTCTTTCTCTCCCATTTTAGCCTTACCAGCATCAGCACAGCAGAGTTGCTAATAAAGCTGCAACTTTGACACAGCTGTGGAAGGAAACGTGTTTCATAGCTCCACAGCAACCAACAAAAAAGAAAGAAAAGCCAAAGGAAAGAAAAGAGTGGGCAGTCCAAAAGAGAGGAAAAGTATAGGAACACAGCAAGACAAAGCACAATGTTAAAAAAGGTGGAAGAGCTCTACATACTAGTCAGTAATAGAAAAAGAAAATAAATCATAAAGACAGGGGACTTAAGGCAGGCAGATTTAAGAAAAATAAATGTTGATGCATACCAGTAATAGTATAGAGCATAGTATATAGGGGATTGTAATAGGCAATAGAGTAATATATAATATTAATTGAACATTAATAGTATAGAGTAGTATCAACACTGTCATAATATCAGTAACTGAAGAGGACTGGTATACTGTAAGAGTAAGAATCATAGTATAGTACTAGTATAGAGGTAGCAATAAAAGCACTCACATAACACTTTTATAAGTTTATTTTTACAAAATAAAAGTCTCCAAAATAAAATAAAGAAGCCACCAGTGCTTTTGTGTGTCTCTTGATTTTTGATCAGTCTAATATTTTTTTCTTCTTAGTATTTTCTTGCAAATTCAGCCTCTCTCTCTCTCTCTCTTTTTTAATCAAGGTGAGTGTTAATCCATTGTTGCCACAGGAATTAATGAACTAGCTTGTTGCCTGAGCCTGAGTTCATGGGCTGAGAGAGAGATTGGCCTGAAATCACCCAGCTGACATTCATGCCTATGGCAAGACCAGAACTCACAATCTCTTGGTTTCTAGCCTGAGGCCTTAACCACTAGACAAGACTGTCTCTCTTGAGTCAATCTAATTGGATACAGTTTTAAAAAATCTATTACAAGCTGCATCAATGGAAGTACTATTTATGTATCATGGGATGTATAACTATGAGTTCCATTATTTTTATGCCCTTTTCAAGTTCTGTGCCCATTTCTGGGCATTGCATTTCAAAGTAATGTAAAATGTGAAAAAGTTGCAAGAAATTACAATTGAGGGTAGCAACTAAGTGCTACAAAGAGAGACTAAAGGAACTGAGGATACGTTTAGTCAAGAAAAGGGAAATCAAAAACCTAGAGGAATATTACTAAGGAGCATCTGTTACTTTTATTCTAAGACTACAGTTACAGGTTAAAATAAGATACAGGTTAAAAATTAAGTAAGAATTAATAGAACAAGTCAACAGTGGGACTAATTATTGAGAGATAGTGAATTTTACTGGATTTGTTCAAACAGAAGCAACTACCAGGGTTGCTTTCATTTGGATTTTTCACCAATTGGGAGCTGAATTTGAGAGACTAAATGATACTTTTCAATACTTTAATTCCATGTATTACATACAGTTATTTGGAGGAAAATAGAGGAAATCGGTGAAAGCCAATATGATGGTCAGATGGGGGTTTGTTGATTGCTTGAAAATATTGCTGCAATCCACCAAATTCAATGCAGTTGGCTTTGGAGTAGGCATGGATAGAACTCTGTAGCTTAGTGTCACTCATTTTAAGAACATAAGGAAGTCTGATGTCATCTGCCCTGTTTCCCCTAACAGCAAGTACACAGAAGTATAAAGCTTCTGAACTCGGTGCAGCCAATGTATCTAATAGTTTAGGTTCATCTCCCTTGAACTTGTCTAATCCTAAATCTATTTTAGCTTGAGGCCATCATGCCACAGTGGATTCCTTCTAAATGATGTATGAGATAATTCATTTTTATAATTTATTTGTACAAAATCGCTTTCACAATCACTTATTTGAAAAAGTGGGAAATCCCTATTTTTGCTACTCGCAGTACCCGGTGTGTTTCCAACATGCAGCATGGCCATTTTTGTATTGTAGACTTTCACTTCTCTAAAGAGCCTTTTTGTTGTTGAAGAATTGCTCTGACCTCCAGCACAGCTTATGCCTTTATGACAATCCGTAGTCATCAGTGAAGTATGATGGCTTTTGGGTCATCACTAATGTCAGCTGCAGATCTCACAGGCTGTACAGAATGGATGGCAGAGCTGCAACTGCTTACACTGAGTTACATTATCTCCCTGCAGAGGAGAGAAGAAAGAAAAAGAAAGACCTCAGTGTTTTTCATAAATCCAGATATTTTGATTTTCTAAAAAGATATTACCCACTCAGGCTAAAATATTTTTCTTTCTTTTCCCCCTTGTTTCTTTTAAAAGTCCAACATAATATATAATGGGGTTTTTAGTTGACAAGGTTATATATAGACTATGGGTAAAAAACCCTGTTGTCTCTGAATGTGTCTGTTTTCTCCCCTCTAGCCCATGGTTAAGATGCTGGAGGTCCAAGTTCCTCTTCTCAATGATGGAAATGAATGGGTAGCTTCAGTCACTGACTCTTAGTTCAACGTATCTCATAATGCTGTTCCTGTAAAGATAAAATTGGAAATAGGACCGCTATATATGCGGTCTGAAGCTTCAAGAACAAAAACAGTCAAAA